TATCTTATATAGTCATAGTCAATTTTGTATGGACATAATTTTAATTAATATTAATGAAAATAATTTTTGTTAGCTATGTCATATATTTGCTAAAATAGTATTCGTAGGCTTTGTTTAGTACAACTTTTGTCTATTTTTTTTTTTAAAAAAATTATACTAAGATTATTTTAAAAAGTAGTATGAAAACTAGCTGAAATGAAATATAAGGCTTCATTTAGGACGGCTTTCTTAATGCTTTTTAAGATAGTTTTTTAGTACAAAATTAAATTTTTTTACTAGAAAGCTATTTTAAATGGCAATAAGAAAAATGTCTCAAATGAAGCAAAGGTTTTCATTTGGACGTCTTTCTTACTGCTTCTTAAAGTAGTTTTATAGTAAAAAAAGTTTTTATACTAAAAAGTTACTTCATGAAGCAATAAAAAAGTCATCCCAAACGAAGCCTAAAATTTTATTTGAAACTATTTTTTTAAGTAATTTTTTAGCATTACAATTTGTTGAATATAAAACTTTTGTACTGAAGAATTGTTTTAAAAAATAATTAAAAAAAAAGGTCTCCACCGAATCCTTTCTCTTGCAAATTCAACTTGTCGAGGAGGAGAGACTATTAGGTGCGGAGTGTGGGCGAGGAGAATCGTCCGCACAAGTATTGGGTACCTAACGGTACCCATACTCGATACCGCTGGATACCCAATACTTATACGGATGGTATGTACTCCACACCTAATAAATTTTCATCAATGAGGGCATTAAATTTGTTCTTGATTTTGCTTGGAATCTATTCCTATTCTAAATTCTTTTCGTGGGGTGCGTATGCGGTCTATCTGATTTGTGATATTTATCTTTTTCTCTTTAGGAATTATAATTTTAATCTTTTTTTATTTAGCGCTTTTCGATTTTTATTTAATCAATTGGACTTTTTCCTCACCAATTAAAAAAAACAGGTATTTTTACTATGAAGAAAAACTGTTGGTTGGAGACTGCAATAAATGGAGCAGTCACTGTCAGAGACATCTGATTCACTGTTTATGAGAATATTTATAATGCATTTGGCTTCGGTTGGTACAGCTTTTTATTGCTTAAACAGTTTTTTTAAGAATAAAATTTTCTAAATTAAATTTTTTAATATTAAAAAACTGAAAGTTCTATAAAATCTTTTATTTCTTTTTTTAGAAAATTTGTTTTATTAGTTTTCTTAAGCCATCTACAACAAAAATAAAAAATATTTTTTTAACTTAAAAATACACTAACTCGCTTCCAATCAAACTCCATTTCTAACATCAACAAAGAATATTATCCGCATATTCTTTCTCAACTGAACCCCACGCAACGTCTTTATGTGCTTCAGCCTTTCTTTGCTTTCACCGTTTGATGATTTCTAAAAAAGATGTTTGTGAACAGTTAAAAAACTGAAAGTTCTATAAAATCTTTTACTCCTTTTTTTAGAAAATTTGTTTTATTAGTTTTCTTAAGCCATCTACAAAAAAAAAAAAAAAAAAAAAAAAAAACTTAAAAATACACTAACTCGCTTCCAATCAAACTCAATTTCTAACATCAACAAAGAAAATTATCCGCATATTCTTTCTCAACTGAACCCCACGCAACGCCTTTATGTGCTTCAGCCTTTCTTTGCTTTCACCATTTGATGATTTCTAAAAATGATGTTTGTGAACACTGTGACCTAAATATTGACGTTGCACTGTTCATGATATGAAGATGCGACTGTGAAAATGTAATTTGGGCATAGCTTCAGCCAGACAACTAACTTTTGTTTGCATGTAGGTTGGCCTTCAGCTATTATGCACAAATGCGAGAAATAGCATTGGATTTGATACGTCATCGAAAATTGCTTTGATCGAGACATATTTAAGTTTGAAACTTTCAAAATTAAATTTGGGATCTTATGAATTCCAATTTCAACAAGCTTACAGCCAAACTGAACAACTCAAAGAGACGAACCTAACCACAACAAAATCGGTCCAACCCAAGCCAAAATGGGTCCAAATTAGGGCCCAAACCACATTTGGAAGGGTCAAAGCAATATTTGGATGACTAAGTGATATTCAAATATGACATGTTTATATTCAAATTGAGTGGCTCGGAGAGACCAATCCAACAAGCGTAAGATTGCTAAATTTTAACATCATTAGGGCACTTAAACAATTGAAAAACTTTCTATAATTGGGGAATTAGTACGAGCCATCTAATGAAGCACACCGAACCTGCCCCGGAGCTTCTCTATATTTATGAGGTGCGCCACTCATGAAAATTCATAAATGGACGCCACTCTCTACATGAGGGATAAGAGGGGGCTAGAGATTGGAGAGAGCTATGAAGCCTCAAGAGCTCAAGCACAATCGCCCGACCTCCACCAACCGACCACCGACCGTCGTCGGACCACCGCCCGCCCAAGAACTGACGCCGGACTTACACCTGGCTATTAACAGCCGTCAGACTTCAGCTCGACTGTCGTCGAACCATCGCTTGGACGTCGACCGCAGTCAAACTTCCACCTGGTCGCCGATCGTCGCCAAACTTCTGCCCGACCGTCGCCAAACTTCTGCCCGACCGTCGTCTGACTACCACCCGGCCACCGACCGCCACCGGACTTCAGCCTGACCATCGTCGGACCACCATCCGGCCGTCGACCATTGCCGGACTTCCTCCCAGCCACCGACCACTACCAAACTTTAGCCCGACCGCTATCGGACCACCGCCCAGCCTCTGGACTTTAGCTCATCCCATAGTTCCGCTAGACCACCACCTAATGTCGGAGTCTTACCGGACCATCGCATGATGCCGGAGTTCTGCCAAACTAATGATTGACGTCGAAGTTTCGCCAAACCACTGCCATACACTTACAAAAGTCGAAGTTTTACCATACCATTAAATAATGCTCGGACTTCCACTGGAGTTTTGCCAAACCATCGACAGAAGTCGGAGTTTCGCCATACACACAGAATAATAACAAGACTTCGGCTAGATGATCGCCTTACGACAACAATCTTTCTAGCCCATGTCTCCTATCGACTATGGTCCTTCTAAACTCCGTCGCTGACTACGATCATTCCGACATGCATCGCCAGACAATGATCTTTCTAACCCTTCTCCTGTCGACTATAGTCTTTCCGACCTTAATCACCTACTAAGGTCCTTCCAACATCCATCACAAGAAAATAGCCTTTCTGACCTCTATCGCCTACCAACTACAGTCCTTATGACTTCCATCAACAGAAAACGGTCTTTTTGACCCTTATCTCCTGCCGACTATGATCTTTTCGACCTCCGTCGCCAGACAACAGTCTTTCTTACCACTCTCCTGCCGACTACGGTCCTTATGACCTTCTTTGCCATACAACGATCTTTCTAACCCCTATCACTTACCGACTACGGTCCTTCCGACCCCCGTCGTCTACTACGGTCATTCCGACCTTTATTACAAATCAATGGTCTTTTTGAACCGTGTCTACTGGCGACTATGGTCCTTCTAACATCTGTCGCCTACTACGGTCCTTCCAACCTCCATCACCAAACAACGATCTTTATGACCTGTCTCCTTCTGACTATGATCCTTCCAACCTCCGTCGCCTACTACAATCCTTCCAACCTACATTACTAGAAAAAAGGTCTTTATGACCCTTGCCTTATGCAGACAATGGTCCTTTTGACTACCGTCACTAGATACAATCTTTTAGACCTCTGTCGCCCGCTGACTATGGTTCTACCGACTAAACTAACATTTCAATACTAATTATTCTAATTTCCACCATGTAATATGATGTACATTTGCTACATCAACCTAAGGCCTTCCCCCCCAAGGAAGGGCCTCATTTGTAATCGACTGCAAATAATAGTGATTTCATTCAAATTGGGTTAGGCCCATGGTTTTCCACTTTTCAGGAGTTTTCACGTAAAAACTCTATTGTCTCTTATGAATGTTACACCCTTTCCTTTTATGTGCTTGTGTGATGGATATTTGTACAAACCTAATAAATTAAATTTTATATTTTTCTACCGCCACGAATATTCCAGGACACAACAATATTTTTGATAAAATTTTAATTAGGAGTTTAATTATATACTAATTAAATAAAATAAGACTAATTATAAAAAAATAAAAAATAGTGATTTGACATCATTACTTATTTTTCAAATATTTTTATAATTATGCTCTTTTCATTTAATTATATTTTAATTAAGCCCATTTTTAATCCCCCGCTTATACCCTAAATCAATTTATTATTATTTAGCAGTTCCAACAAAACATAAACATATCATGAATTTAAAATACATTGTGTTGATTTTTTTATTATTTTAAATATTAGGGAGTTATTTTGTTTGAAGAAAAAAAGTGTAAAATATTAAAAAATAAGGGTTTTAAAAATATTGGTATTTGATCTGAAGTAAAAGAAAAACAAAGTAAAATTTTAAAGTATTTGAAATATCATATATGATTCAAATTTTTGTGTTTAAAAATCATTAAATTTGTTGATTTTTAAATACATTGCAACCACCATCCACAACTACCTCCATCTCAACATCATTGTAAGTCGCAGCCACCCATTGTTGGCCACCATGATCGCCACGATTGCCCCACACCATTGCCCTTTGTCATTATCGGACACGGCTTGCCATCGAATGTCATGCGCGACTATCATATGTCGGCTTTCATTAGACATTGACATCCACGATCTTTGAGGTTTACTTTGCATTCACTTATTTCAAGTTAAATAAAAATAAAAAAAAAATCATCCACATTTATTTTATATTAATCTAAATAACTCTAAATATTTTTCATATTATATATAATTTTTATATTGCATTCTATTTTACTTTTTTAAGCAAACAAAAGGCCCCTTATAATAAATTAGCTTTTAATATATGTATATATATAGATTGAATAACATTTTATTAAATTAAATATTTAGATGTAAGATACATAAATATCTAAGAATTCATATACTGATATTAATGTAAAACCTAATAAAAAAGAAAAGAAAAGAAAAGAAAAGAAAAGTGAAAATCTATTCCTCCGTCGGCAAATTGGCATCTCCCTTCTCCTCAAATCCCTTCTCTCAGCCGGATTGCTCATTCTCTCTCTTTCTACGTGCTCTGGATTCTCTGGCAACCCTAACCCTAGAAAGGCTTTCATTTTCCTCCTTAGATCCCATCCAAGCACAACTAGGGTAAAATGTCCAAGCCCTGGGGCGGAGTCGGCGCATGGGCTCTCGAGGCGGAGCGCGCCGAGGCCGAGGAGCGCGAGCGTGCTGATTCTACGGTCTACGAATCCTTCCCAGGCGGCCCTACCCTCCTTGCTGGACAGCCAGTCCAGAGCTTCCCTAGCCTCAAAGAAGCCGTCACAAAGCCGAGGAAGAAGAAGGGCGTTTCCATTCCACTTTCCGATTTCAACACAGGCAACTACGTCGGCCCCGGAGGCGCTCGTCGAGAGTCTTCCTTCGAGCCCAAGGGACTCACTACCGATGAGATGATACGCCTCCCGACTGGTCCTCGGGAGCGCACAGCCGAGGAACTTGAGCAGTCCCGCCTTGGTGGAGGCTTCCGCTCATATGGATACGGCCTTGGCGGTGGTTCTTCCCGTCGCCGGTCGGAGTTTGGCATGGATGACGAGCCAAGGAGGGGCGCGTCAATTCCTAGGGGCACTGATTCTGATCTACCCTCGAGGGCCGATGAGGCGGATAACTGGGCCACTGCGAAGAAATTTACGCCGACTATGGATTCCGGTCGGCAAGAGCGCTATGGATCCCTTGGGAGCGGAGGATCATCTAAGGCTGATGAGGTTGATGATTGGTCGTTGGGAAAGAAATCGACTGCCCCTCCTCATTCAAGGAATACTAGCTTTGGATCGGGATTCAGGGACTTTCCGGTTTCTGGTGCGGATTCTGATCGTTGGGTTAGAGGAGGTACGGGATCTTTTTCAAGCAATGGGGAGCGAGAAAGGCCAAGACTCACCCTTGATCCTCCAAAAAGAGATTCAGGATCCCAACCGGAGTCAGCTCGTAGCCGACCAAATCCTTTTGGTACGGCAAGGCCAAGGGAGGAGGTTTTGGCTGAGAAGGGTATGGATTGGAGGAAAATGGAAACAGAAATCGAGGTTAAAAAAAATGCCAGGCCAACGAGTTCTCATTCCAGCAGGTCATCCAGTGCGCAGTCTAGCAGGCCAGTTAGCCCGATTTCTCAGATGCCTGGCGAAGGAGGAGGTACGAAATCTCGACCTAAGGTGAACCCCTTTGGGGATGCAAAACCTCGCGAGATACTTTTGGAAGAGAAGGGGATGGATTGGAGGAAGATTGATCTGGAGCTGGAACATCGCAGGGTTGAGAGGTCTAATTTACTGGTTTCCTGCTGGCTTATATTTTCATTTAATGCATGGCCTGATTTTATGTGTTGCATGTTTATTATTCTTGTCAGAAAGAAAATTACCGGATGTCTTGTGATGCCTTTATGTCTAGGAACATTCTTAGGCGTATTTTAGTTGTCAGGGTTTATCTATAGTTACAGTTTCTCTAAATGATGCCATGACCATGTTTTGAGCATGCGGATGGCTTATTATAAGCTTTTGATTTACATGCCCCAGTCAATATTGATTAGTTTTAAAAGTAGTTGTGGAATGAGCAAGGAGTTCTAGTAATTTTGAATTTATATCAAGGATCATCTCGAAGGTCTAGAGTTTTTGTTCATTGATTATGTAGATGTTCTAAAGGATATTAAAAGTTTTACATCGGTGCAGTTTGTTTGGTAAACAGGGTTCTAATCGCAAGACTAATATTGAAATAAGTAGAAACTTAAAATATGGGAGAAGATGTTAGCTTGAAGAAATTTATGATATGCAATTTTATTTGTGTGGTATTAATTATTGTTCACCACTATAACTAGAGGATAAGGTGGTACATGTTTCTTAGATTTAAAATTTTTGCATTAATTTTACAGAAAAATGGGAGTACAATTGAGTATATAACTTGTAGAAGTGCCTTATGAGTGATACGTGATAGAAGAAAATCAATGATATTAAAAAGTAAATTTTATCAAATTAAAATTAGGTTAGCTATGAGGTATAATTATAAGTGTTTGGTAGTAAATAAATCATTGATATGAAGGTTGTGTGCTACAGGAATGACAATGTAAAGACAGGTGCTTGACAAGGCTTAGAGGTATATATTTGAAAGAATGATTATATTATAGAGACAATGGTGGTAATATCTATCAAAAATTAGGTAGTGAAAAATATGCTTCCATGATTTAGGCATTCACCATAGATGATTGAAGATGCTCCATTACGATGGTTAGATAAAATTAATGCCAAGGAATTAGCAAGAAAAAAGGAGGATCAAAGTTATCATAGATAGAAATTTTGCAAAATGATTTCCACAAAAGAAGAATATCATTTAACATCTCATATAGGACTCCATATGAAGAAATGGGGAATGAGAATTTATAAAATCAATCTCAAATATTTCATATAATACCAATGATGATGATGTTACTACTAGGGCTTACTGTTATATTGCAGGAGTTGTGTGCATACTTTATTTTTCTGCTATTCTATATTTATAAACCTTATCATGCCATCCAATACATTCTACAGATTTTTCACTAAGACAGTCATATATTGCTTTAACAGAAAAACTCTTCCATGCATCTCCATAATGGAGGATGACATTATTTTTCTTGCCCTTGAGCATTTTTTGATATTCTATGCACATTGGCAGTCTCAACCATGGATGTAAACAAGTCGAGTCAAGCTTGAGTTACACCTAACTTGTGCTTAGCTCGTCCAATAGAGGGTACACTTGTACTTGAGGTGAGCTTGTGTATTGAGCTCAAGCTGTACTCATTAAAATAACTGTAAGCTCAAGCTCAACTCAATAGCTCATTGAAGAAGGCATGCCATGAGCTCGTTGGTGAAGCATTGCTAGAGAAGGCATCTAGTAACATGCCAGAGAAGGCATTGCAACAACAACTCACTGAAGAAGACGTCAAAGGCTGAGTTGCCATGGAGCTTAGTGGAGAAGGCATGGCAATAGGTTTTATTATTATTTTTTAGAGAATGGCAGTCCTGTAGTGGTAACTTGAATGACACAACAATAGTGATAAAACTTATAGCATCTTTATCTTTATTTTCCCAAAAAAATTGTCGGAGCTCTAACTTTTTTTCTTAAGATTTTATTTTAATGTAAAAAGGAAAGATGAGCCGGCTCGCAAGCCAAAGAGTCAAGTTCGATCAAGATTGAACTCGAGCTCGTATATCATACGAGTTGTAATCTCAGCTCAAACTTGAGCTGGTGACTCGACAAGCGAGCTCGTTAACTATTCAAGCTCAAGTTAGCTCACGAACTGGCTTGGCTCATCTTCACCATATTTTTAATTTAAATATTTATAAAGTCACTCGCATACAGCATTTGTGACAACTTTAGTTCCTTAGTGAGTTTCAAGTAGAGACATTCTGTGTAGCAGTGGCTTGCTTTTAGTTATTTAATTGTTCCTCATGTCCTTTTACTTTTTTTTCCTCTAGAGGAAATTGTATTTCCACAAAAAAAAAGGTTTGATATGTTTTCTTCGTATACAATGAATTACTTCAGAACATTTAAATGTTGCTGTTTTATTAAAGTTAGATTGGCATGGTTTAGGTGTAGTATATTTACTTGGGTATTTTCCTTTTTTTTTTGCTGCTTGAATCAAGTCTCTAATATTACTCCTACACTTCTTGTTCATTCAATGATGACTATTTTTTTTGTGTGGAATACATTTAAATTTGATGTCAAGAAAGTGATCAAACATGCTGAAACCATCACTCATCCCATTTTCTATTTTTTTTAGTCGGGTCGCACTTCTTTGTAATTCTTTGATCATTCACATAAGTTTCGATATTCTATTATCTTTTATTATGTTTTCTTTGTTTGATGAGTTCTTTTGTATCTGAAACTAAATATGTGTATTTGTCTAGAGATTTTATAGATTCGTTGTCAATGCCTTGCATTTTTTACAATTTCTATGGAAGCTGTCATTTTGTTGTATTCCTTAAAAAGAAGGCGACAAACAGATCTTTTTCTTTCCAGCAAAGCCTAGCTTCTGATATCATTATGTTTGACCTAAGTTTTAATTGCCTGGTTGATTTCCAAACTAGTTTATTACGGTAGTTTAGCTTATTGATTGCCCACAATATTCCTCAAACATTTTGGTAATTTGAAGCATGCATGGATCTGATTGGACTTGTACCCAACCAAGTTTCGGTCTTTTGCTTTAAATTAGCCAATTAAGGTAGTTTAGCTAACAGTTATGACTTATGAGGGCAGAGAATTACCTGTTCTAATCTTAATCTGCACAACGAGCTTTCAAGCGCATGCAGTGTTAAGTTTTTGGCGCGTTAAGAAGCTACTAGTAGGGAGGTGCTTAGCAAGGACCAGAAGCTTGGCTAGTTCTCCATTTGTGCATCTATGGTGCTAAGGTTCAGGATTTTGTGTCCTTTATGTGTAGTCATTCTATCCTTAGCCACCCCTCCCCTCTCTTTCCAAGGTACACTGAAAAGAAATCCCATCCCTCCTGCTTTGCTCTAAACCCTCTTTTCTTCCCCACTCCTGCACTATTCTTCCTCAACCAGCTGTGATTTTGGAGATCAATTCAATTTGAGAAATAATGTGAGATGTGTTAGTTTGTTAAAGAGTGTGGGATAGGTTAGTTTAGTCATGTGTTGAGCTTGTTCTGGAATTTATAAAACATTATGGCTGGTTTAGTCTTTTAGGTAAGGCTATAACTGAACCCAAAATGTATTGCAGGCCAAATCTTTTGCATGATTTTCTTGTTTGTATGGATACCTTTTTTAATTAAACGTCTTGTTTTTATGATGCATTGGCTCATTCTTTTACTAGTTGGGTAATGAGCTAAGTGTCTTTGGAGGTAGGGCTGGATTAATGATTGAGGATGAGATGGATGGGAGTGACAAGGAAAAAATGAGTGATTACGCATGAATCATGTTTGCTTTATCGAATAAAATTGGCAAGGCATTGTTCGTATTTATCCTGGCTTGTCAATTACCAGCTCATGCAGAACATATAAGAAACGAGAAGAGTTTTAAGAAATAAAGTCACATGGTTGGCTTTGGGCTGAAAGTACATGATTGGCTTTGGGATTTTTCATAGGCTTGCTTGCCCTCATGTGATTCTTGCGACCAAACAAATTCCTAGGTCTTTAGATATCCCATACAAGTTTGTTGTGCGCATTTAGGGGTGACTAGGTTTTTAATTGAACGGTATTCAAAGAGAGGGTGATTAGTAGACATTTTAGTTCGTATATATCTGTAACTTTGTATTTAGTTTATTCTTATCATACCAGCTGAGGAGGTACTTATGGGATCACGATTTATACGATATATTTCATGGGGATGATGACCTTAACAAGAACCCCATATTGCCTTTGACCACCATTTTTTATCCCCAATACATTTTTGCAGTGAGATGCCAAGCTAATGCATGGAGTTGTTTTCTTGCTTTGAGCCATGAAATGAAAACTGATGCTCTAGCATCATTTCTTAAGGCATTTCTAATAAATAAACATTTAAATCTTGAAGGGGAGATAACTATATAACAACAATAATATCAAGCCTTTATCCCACTGTGTGGGATCGATTACATGATTTTTTTTTCTCCATTGTGTCCTGTTAAGAGTTAAATTCTCATTTAAATTTAATAAAAAAAGTCATTTCTAATATTTTCTAACCAAGTCTTTTTTGGTTTGCATCTATCTTTTTTAACATAGATCAAATCCAATACATTTACTCTCATAACCGGGTCATAAGAAGGCTAACATTTTATGTGTCCAAACCATCTAAGATGACTCTAATCTTATCAACCACCGGAGCTACTCCAACCTTTTCACTTATATACTCGTTTCACATTCTATCTCTTAGAGTGAAGTGATAGGAAACACTTGAAGATCTCAAGTAATTCCTATCAATCTTTAGAAAAACAGCGAAAATCCTCCACAAAAATCCACACAAAATCAAGAAATCAGTAGAAAATTTGTATTATTTGATGAAATAGAAATGGAAAATAGCAAGATACAGTTGATCCTCAATTCGAGAGGAGGATCGATCTCTCCCAAATTCTCTAGATGCCGCTAGAGCCCAAAGAAAACCTAAACCTAAGAGATCTCAAATTTCAGCCAAATTCAAGATGCCATAACACTAGGAAAACAAACTATTTAATGCATACAAATCAAAATGAAATCCCTAAACAATCCCTACATTCACATTTTCCTCTTAATTCCCCCAAAAATCTTTCCTATTCGGCTCCCGAAAACTTGCGGCCTCCGCGGCATGCGCAGGAGGC